TTAAAGAACTAAGAACCCTCCCCATAAGAAGAAAAAAAATACTTATAGAGCTCCTGATTTCTTGGTGATATCTTTGTAGAAACAAGTTCTACAACACAGCAATTGTAAGTTCTACAATACAGCAGTTGTTCCATGGCAGTAAGGGCAGAGGAGATGAGGCAGCAGGGAAAAAAACAAGGTCAGAAGAGCTGAATTTATTGACAATATGTGTGCATTGATTTCAGGTGTTTCTGATTTGATTGCAGGTGCAGATAATCAGATTCACCTGAATCCACAGAGGCTGTAATTTCTCTCTCTATTTATAGCCTCCATATTTCTCCTCCAGTTTTTGGTCTTGGTACTCCAGAACAGAGAAAGATACAGAGTACAGGGAGAGTTTGTATGAAACTGCCTGAATTTCTCCACGTTTTCAAAAGCTCTAGAGAAAATAATGATACAAGGTTGGTTCAATTTTATTTTTAAAGTTGCTGTTTAATCCTGAGTCTGAGTAATTAATGAAAAAATTTTGTGCTTTCATTTTAGTTGCAACCTTTTGTGGTTCTAAACAGGAAATGTCAAGCAACAGAAGTCTAATAAGTGCTCAGGAAAAATGCCATATGGCATGTGCATCACAACAAAAAACATGAGCTCTAAAGTTTGCAAATGTCTTCGTGCCACATGGCTGCACAACCTCCATGGGCAAAGAAAGTGTGACTAAAGCCATGGCAACTTTTCACTCATGTAATTTGTCAAAGATGCTTAATTTGCTGCTCTGTGAGAAGTTGTAAAAATATAATTGAGTAAATATTTTGTTAGCATTAGGATAAGAATGGGGAGGTGTTGAACACTTAAAATATGTTTATACTTTTTTCTGTGTGATGTACTCTGTTTTGTTCAAGTAAGGGGAAGAAAAATATCTCAAAAACCCTATAGATATGTTGATTTTCAGCTTTTATCTTCATTTAAAATTTTAGTTCTGAAAAGTGTCTGTGAATCTTTCATTCTGGATCCATCTGCAGCCCACTTAGTGGTCCTGGAATCTGAAATAATATTTGTGTTTTCACAGTCCTTTGTCTGTTTAGATACTAGTGCTTCCTCTTTGGTCAGACAGCAAACTGGAACACTGAGTGGTGATGTTAATAATCGATTTCAGTTGGGAAAGCTGATGATATTTCGGTATAAGAAGGATTAGAAATGGCAAGATATGGCATGGATTTATCGAAGGACACAATCCCACTGTGTCCTGAGAGGCCTCCCCAGAGCACAGTGGGGCAAGGGTTTGCTGTGGGTAGGGAGCTGGGGCAGGGGCTGTGCCAGGGGTGAAGAGGCAGGGGCAGAGCTGCTGATGGGGTGGCACAGCCAGTGGTGCCCAGGCCATCAGACAGAGTGGGACCCACACTTGGGGCTGCAGCACAGCTCCCACAGGAGGGGCAGCCTGGGCCAAGGGTCCTGCAGAGCTGTCTGGCAGCTCCCCCAGTCACTGGGGGAAGGAGGGGCACAGCCTCAGCTGTGCCAGGGCAGAGCTGGCCCCGAGCCCAGCAGCCAAGCCCCAGGAGGGGGATGCAGGCAGGGCCCTCACAGCCATTTCACATCCCAAGGTGCTGTTCCCCTTGTTCCTCTGCCTCACACTGGAGCCCAGGAGCAGATGGCAGGCACTTGAGCTGCCTGAGGAAAAGAGATGCTTAAGTTACAAACTTTTATAGCTTTCTTTTTGTGCCATGCTACCTACCCAGCTAGCAAAGCCATGCTATGATAACTCAGTTATCAATTTCTTTGTGAGCACTCATTTCGTGTCTGTTCTCATTTTTTGCCCTGATTTCTTTTTCTGTAGTGTGGCAGCTTCGTTCCTTGGACGTAGAGTAGGTTTTGTCAGTTCCAGGCACTGAAAAAGATCCATTACTCTGATATTTGGGGTGAGACAGAAGAGATTCATTGGGTGCTGTCTAATTTATTGACTAATTAAGAAGAGACACTAAATGCTCTCAGATTATTGCAATAAAAAAGAACTGTTTAAACATTTTCTCCTGCATGAAGCACCAGTTGCTTCCCTGAGCAGTTTAGTTTCTTCTCTTTAGAGCACTGGAGAAAAAAACTTTCATGGTCTGTGGGATGCCAGAGTTTCATTGGGAAGTGACAGAGAAAAGAGAAACAGTTTCTTTCTGTTAATCAACTTAGAGATCCAGGATAAAATTTTCATTCATGTCTTTGGCAAAATTCCCAACAATTTTAGTGGGATATGAGTTTCACACACAGCGTGTACTTATTAGGTTCATACTCAGTGTGCTCATTTAGGATGGATTTTGGTTTTGTGATCAGCCTGTAATTGGAAAAAGTATTAGGAGAATGGATTTTGGTGTTGTGATTAGCCTGTAATTGGAAAAAGTATTAGGAGAAAAGGACAAGATCTGTTTTGTTGTGGGGTTTTTGTTTAATGAAAGGAAAACAATCATCACTTTTTCTTTCCAACTGCTGTCAGAGTTGAGATCAGTTTAGTTTACTTGATAGGGGTAAGGTTTGCAGAATTATTTGCTGAAGAAGGTCCTTCCCAAAATGATACAGATTATGTGAGTATAGCTGCACTTTGTTGGATGAGTTGTTATCAAGGCAGTTTCCCAAACACTAAATTTGCTAAACTATTAGGCTTTGTTTTTTATCATTTGAATCATATATACTGTGGGCTTCTTGTATAATCAAATTAAATCCTCATCTTCTGGTGATGTTAATGCAGGTCTGTACCAGAAGATGTTTCAGGACTATAATATAGGGAATAATCCTGTAATCCTGCATCATGGTTAAGATCTGATATTGCAATTATTTTAATTTTTAATACTTTCGATAGATCAATAAAGTGCCATTGCTTTTCTTGAGAAATCCAACACAAGGTATAAGCACAAAAATAGAAACAAGGTAAATTTAAACAGGAGAATATTGAAATAAATCACTCTATCTTTTGAATGACAACTGAAAAAAAAATCAAGTCAAAAATACACGCTTGTCAAATATGCAATATAAATAAATAATTTAGGTGAAAATAGATGACTAGAAATAACAAAGAGAAGACCAAATAATGAAGGGCTAAAGGGTGGTTGTTACATCTGATGTACTTCATTGTATGTTGTAAGTAATTGCTATCCATAAAAAAAAATATTCCATGGCTTCTGTATAAGAAAAAGAGACAATTTGACAGGCAGCACTGGTAGTAAGCGACAGCAAGTACAAATCCTTGGCAACTGTCATTATCCTGCTGTTGAATTCACTCCCAAACTGTGGGATAACTTTGACCTGCATAGCTGTTACTGAACCAACGTCTGTTAAAGTAACTCTATTTTTTACTTCTCGAAGAAAAATATTAGCCATGAGCAGATTTTGTCTTAGAAAACTGTATGGACTGTTTATTTACTTTAGTATACTGTTGGTTTTCATTTGAAGAAGAAATATGGAGGTTGAGCTTTAGTTAGACTCTAAGTAATTAGAAAATTGCATTAGAGCAATAGAATAGAAGTTTTGATCTATGCAGCTAAACAATTTCAGCATGTAAAGCTAACTGAAAGTAGAAGATCCTTTTGGAATAATTACAAAAAGTCACCAGTGTTTTGGCCATGAATAAACAGCAGTTTAATTGCTTTAATATGGGAAAAAAATGTTGTTGGAGCTCTTCAGGCTTTTAGTTGTTTTCATTTCCCCATTTCAAGTTCTGCTTTCAAAATCTTTTCTCTCTGCATCTATCTGGACATCTTTACTTGTGCTATAAAACTAGGATCACAACATCTTGATGCCAGCAGCTAGCAAAATTTACCAGTGACTAAGAAGAAATTTTCTTTTAATCTGGAGTATCAAGCTATTTTTCCTGCCTAGTGTATGCCATCTCAAATTGACTCGTTTAGGTGGTTTTTCACCTATAAAGCCTTTCATTTATGGTGTTTAACCTCCAGAAGGATGAGCACCAGAGTTCCATCTAAATTGCAGCTTTCTCAGACTATAAAAGAGCAAGATTACTCTTGGTAGTTGCACACTTGCATCTTCTGTTTGAAACCATCTCAGTTAAGGAATTGGAGTGTGCACAAGTCCCCTAAGGTTTGCACACACTGTACATATAAATAGTATATCTATATGTAAGTACTCTTAACAGAAAGAGTACTTACAATAAATAATGTCCTCTTGCTGTCACTACTCAGAATTCCAAACACAGCATAGCCTGCTCACATCTCATAATACTAAAACCAGTTTTCTTTGATTGAACTCCAATATTAATACTCCTGAGACAGTATATTAGTTTAGAGACTTCCTAAGTAGAAACACTGCAATCTATATGCACAAAGCTTGACGTTCCCATTTGTTGTGACATCATTTTTGTAATTTATAATGGGAATATTCTGATACTTAGGAGTTATTTGAATAGGAAAGGAGAATGAGAACTTGATCTTTAATACTGCTGTTGGCACAGTTACGCTAGTGTTGATTTGGATGCAAAGACTGGATAAAACTAGGTTATGGGTAAATATTCCATTTAGAATTTTGGCTTATGATATCAAGTAATTTTGTGCCATTAATAGGAGCCCAAACCTGAAAGCTGAAGGCTTTAATTCTCATTAATGTTTTTAAACTAAACATTTCTTTCCTAGCTTATGAGATAATTTAGTGTTCATTTTATATGAAAGAAGGCTAGCACAGGCTTTGTGCTACTGAACTATGGCTGAAGTACCATAATCCTGTCCTTGCAGCACTTCATATATTCCCCTTCTGATCCTAGAATCAGGATGAAAGTATTAACACAATTTCATAAGGTGTTTTGCAGCATTAAGATGTCCTAGGCTTTTCTGAACTCTGTGCAGTCAATTAGTGCTAATTTCAAGTATTTGAAATATCAGAGCAAAAATAAAATGTTAACTAAATGAATTACATTTCTGTTTCAGAAAATGCTTCCTTCCCTATCAAAAAAAAAAAAAAGCTGTTAAAATATTGAAGAGAAACAAAGCTCTAAACAACTTCTATTTGCCCACAACATTCTCCTGCAATCAACAATGGTATCAAGAAGGTCAAGACTTCAAGACTGTTCTCACATCAAACAAAATCAGTTCAGAGCTGTGATGGAGTATCAGAATCCTAGACAGCTACAAATCAAGCAGTACACACAATTTCTGTCTTATATCACCATCCAAGAGAAACAGAGCTGAAAGTGTTGCCACAGGTCAACTGAGGTAATCAAAGCTCTTGTGTTGCTCTTAATCAAGAGTGCTGCAGTTCAGTCACCTCGCGATGACGATTCAGTTGATATTCTAAACCAGACCTTGCTCATTTTCATTAAGATTCCTTGACATAATTTCTCAGAGTCTATGATTTTTAAGCTCATTTCTGGAAGACAAAGTTCCAACAAATCAGGCATCCCAGCTTGCTTTCCAAATTTTAAGACAACAACAGATAGGTAATATCCGTTGAGTTGACCCTCTGTAAAGAAGAATGTGATTCTCCATAATTAATCCAAAATGAGTTGATTCTGCCTGTCTGGACAATCCAAGAGAACAATTGGATTTTGCAGTGTAGCATAAAGGTGATTAAAGTGAAGATTTGGTGAAGTGAATTATGGCATGTTAAATTTCGACCTCCTCATCAAAAGCTTTTTGCTGTTTGTGTCTTCTCTTTTGAGGATGGAAATTGGTGTAAACTGAGATAAACCTAGTGATTAGAGTTATCAGGGTGTCCTCTCATTTGTGTCCAGATGAGACCTTAAATAGGATACAAATGGCTCTAATTCTGTAACTCTTTTCTGAAAGTGCTTTATCCAAAATGAATCAAATATCTGTAATTGCTAATGTTGTATAATAAGATGTGTGTTTTAATACAATTGCCTCCTGGTGTATGAAAATCTTTAAATCTAGAGCCAAAAAGAAAATGTATAGTTACTTTTCCAGGGGTTATATTCTGGCTTTATGATATGGTTTAGGGCTCAACACTGAGGTAGCTTTGATTCAATAGCATGACTTGCTTTAGAAATCTAAAAGGAGGAGAAAACAGCTAAGGCTCTTATGTGGTCATTGTGCCATTCAAGAAATGTGGAAACTGTAAAAGACATGTGAAATTACCTACATGTCACAATGGTTTAAGTGGAGTATCAGTTCAGTGCTAATTTAAATGAAAGGGAAATTTTCCAAGGGATGTGAATTCACATCTTAGGCCTCAAACCAGTTTTGAGTTGTTCCTGGGAACCTCTAGGACAGAGCCCCTGTGCCATTAATGTTCTTGTAGTATATAATTCTGTTATAAATCTGCTTTCCTCTCCTTTTATTTTTTTTCCCTTTTTAAAAATAGTCTTGTTGTGTTAATCTTCAAAAGTCGTTTGTGGTATGAGCACTTTAAAATAGTATTATGGTGTTTTAAACTGGATTATTATTAGTTTATTGCATTTTATTTTGGCAGCTGCACTGAGTATATTTTGCTCTCTGGGAAACAATGAACAATAAGCTCCACTCTGCAGTCACTGTACAGGGATAATTGCTGCCAATTTGACTGAAATTTTGCCCGAGAAAAGACTCTTCCCAGTTCTTACTTTTTAAACTAGAAGCAATAACCTACACACTATGAACTGAGAGCTCTCTTTAATTACAAGTTTTCTCAGGATCAATTTTTTTCTGTATATATTTGAGCTGATAATTTTTGAAAAATGTTTTTAAATTAAGTGCTTTATTTTCCTGTGAAATTCTGAAGCTATTTGATAAAAGAACTTCATAGTAACTACTTTCCAGTGTTTTAGAAGTTTGGAATAAATTCACCTTGGGACAGATTAATACTGTTTTGTTGCTAAGGGTTCAGTTTCTCTGTATTTTCTATATTTACAAGGTAAGTGTGGGAACTAAATTATTACACTGTGAAGAGTTTTAAGGGCCATAAATTCAGGCTGTCTTTTCATAGAATAAATTGTAAAAGTTCTAACAAAAAAAAAAAAGTAAAAGGATAAAATAAAATCTCAGATTGTTTCTTTAATATCCCAAACTGGATTCTCTTTTTCCAGCAGAATGAACTGTGCTCTGTGTTTCAAAACTGGCATATCCACAGAGCATTTGAAGTATCCAAAGTTATTAAACAGCAGCCAAATGTAATCAAAGTCAGAGCTGACAATAACAGCACAAAAAAGATCTTTGCTAAGTTTCTGTGCCCTTCATTAAGCCAATAACCTCTAATGTAAGTTGTCTTGCATGCATAAAGTTTGGTTGTAGCTTTTTCTTCCAAACTTAATGTAAATCTTTTTTTTTTTCCCTTTAAATCAAGCTTCTATGAAACTTTTCATCCTTTGCACTCTCTTCCCAAAATGCATGACTTGTTACCACTACAAGTAAGTTGCAGAATTAAGCCCAGCATTGTTTCAGCATCCCACTCCTTCCAAACCAAGCATTGTAAGGTTATGTTTTCCCCATCCTATGATTTCTAGGCACAATCAACACAACACTAAATTGCCTGCAGTGCAGTTACCATGATTGGTAAATTCATTGAGAAGAGCAGATTATTTTTTTTAATTCCCTATTTGATTTTTCTCTGACTAAATATTGATCGTAAAATAGACACATTTGGAATCAATTTTTCTTACCTCTTGTACTCGTTTAGCTGCTGGAGGAGGACTCTGCAAAGCTGAGCCTGAAGGTGGCTGCACAACGAGTGTCCTTGGCAGGCAGCACTGGAGCTCCAGAACCCAAAGACATACCCCATGATGCTGAGGTTTATATTTCAACTGGAGAACCCTTTCTCTGTCCCTTCAAGAAAAAGAAAAAGGTAAAAAAAGCTGCAACCAAACCTGAGAAACTCCAGCAAACAGCTTAAGGAGTGCAATTAAAAAATTATTTTCAGCCTGTCTTTTTGCATGGTTTCACAAAACTAATGTTTACTCATTTACAGCTCAGTAAGAGGATAATGTGCTTAATGAAAGAAAAATCTACTGACAGCCACATTTATTGCCCTTCATTAGCATTGGTACTTAATTTAATATAGATCTGAATAGACATTAGGGAGCCTGCAGGAGGCTAAATGGTGAAAATGTAAAGAGATTATTGAATTTACTGTTTAGTTTCAATGACATCAAACAGACATAATTAATTAGGTTTATTCCACTAGCAAAATCATCCGGAATGTAAGATGGGATTCATTAATGTAATTGCTAAAAACATTTTTGAAAGTTTAATACAGCAATATGGAATATCTACTTTTCTGGGCTTTATTAATTTTTAGATTGTTTGGTAAGACTATGGTTATTTTTTTCTTCTTTCCTTCTCATTCCTTTACCAAAATGGTAATTTTGTTTTGGTTTTTGTCGGGGGTGAAAACTATTTCTGAATCCTCTACAGTTTAGATAGGAATGGAAATGTTTTTCACTGTCATTTTAAGACCATCAAGTACCTTGTGAGATTTTTGCTGCAAATTGTAGCTGTAGCTTAAGTAGGATTCAGTATCAAACTGAAGATACCAGTTGGGTATTTTGGGAAACTATTAATTCAGCCAGAATTTGTGATAAAGAGCTTTTAATTGATACAATCTAAGCTATTCTAAAAAGCAAAATTATTAAGGTAGTGTATGTGTAGGTAGGAATTGACAATTCCAGTGTACAATTGCAACAAGAAATGTAAATAAGATAAATTGTTTAACATAATGTGAAATATTCCATTTTTTTATTGTCTTGTAGGAGCAAAATGTGTGATGTGTTTTTAAAAAGTTAGGGATTGCAAAGAAAACCAAAAGCAAATCCTAATTGTGTATTTTGTTTATCTTTTCTATATAGATTTCTTTGCTCTTTGAGCAATTTTTTTTTCTTATATACTTGCTTTATAAACAAGCCCTTGGTTTGATTTTTCTCCATAGTTTTTTTAATAGCACTTGTTATCTTGAGAAGGATTAGGAGACATTTTATATCTTTCATTATATTTAAATCATTCAAAATTTCCAAATATTCAAACAATCACTATTTGTTTGCAGCTTGATAATATTTACTACAAAGATTTCAAGAAGGTATTGATATCATAGATATCATATATCTATACTATGCTATGATATATATATACACTATGATACTCATTTCTGTCTGGCTAAGAATATGACTACTCTGTAGCTCTCTATACACATCAAATCTAATACTAATTAGTAGATTCTTTATGATGTATGTGCAGTAATGAAATGTTTGCATATTTAAGGAGGTATTTAGTAACTTATGTTACTAAACCTGTGTCTTACAAAGTCAATTTTAGGTATTATAAGGTGGTTTTGATGCTGTAAAAATCATTCAGAGTATGATACAGGTGATCCAGGATGGCTGTAATGAGTGGCCTATATATTCAGTCAAAGGCACAGATCACTGATTTTATTTTGGCAAAAGTGGATGATAAAACTGCTGTTTGTGCTGTAGGAATCATTTCCATGATCCCATTATTGCAGCATTTTTCTAGGGGAATTGCTGTTTGTTACAAAATCTTCACTGGTACATGTATTACAGTTCCTCCATGCTATGACTTGAGTGTTATGATAGATTTTCAAAGTCATTAAATGAGTCTTCCTTTTTTTTTTTTTCCGTTCTCTCATTTTCCTCTTGCAAGCCAAGTTCAAAACAAAAACTTCTGTGCTTTGTCTGCATATCTTTGGCTGTGTTTCATTGTGACATGCACTGCTGTTCTTTTAGCACCAAAATGTTGGCACACATTACTGAAAATTTCACACCATCTCTTGCTGGATCAGCAAGCTTAACCTACCAAAATCTGGTGTTGTTGAATGGTTTTTGACTGATAATCAATCTTTTTGCTGCTCGACAGTTGTTGCTGGGACACAGACTAGAGCAGGTGGCAGATGTGCCTTGTCTTTTGAGAAAAGAAAGAGTAGGTGAGCTTGGGCACAGAGTAACATATTGTGTGTCCATTAAAAGGGTAAGTATAACAGGAAAAAGTCACTGCTATAAGTAGAAAAGCCACCAATACCAGAAAATAGGCCTTTTAACACCCCTGTTTGCAAGTTTAATAGAAATAGAAAATGACAGTTCACAGTGTACAATTCCATGTGCTCAAAAATCAGAACTGATGTTAAAACATCGATGAATTCTTTGTATTACATTTCACAGTACTTTTTTTTTTTTAATTTGTGCATGGTATGAATGATAATGAACAGATTTTTAGAAAGCTATGGTAGATTGAAGATTAGGTTTTAGAAATGTATTGAGGTGCACAGGACATATTTGGTATTTTCTTTCTCTAGCCCAAGATTGGGAAGAGAGCATAGAGCAGTGTGACTTAACAATCTGAACATACTGGTGGCTACATCTGAGACCTTAGTGCACAGATAACAAGGTCAAATGTCAGTAGCAAATCTTCTTTGCATGGGAATAGAAGATCAGTGACCTAGTGTAAAGCCCTAACATTGCAAATATGTACAAGTGATGCCATGGAAATCAGAGGGAATTTTTACATGTGTAATTAAACATAAATATTTGCAAGCCCAACAGTTTTGTATGAATTTATATTTTAAGTAGTGTGTGAGTCACAAAGTCTGTCAGAACTGTATCATTTTGAGATGCTTTCATTGCTTCCAGTGGCATAAATACCTGGATAAAATATAACTCCCAGTGATGCTGATGTCTTGATTTATTGGGATTTATCCACCTTCTCATCTTTGTGGCATACTGAAATTTAACTTGAGGTTTGGATGAAGTCAGTCAGGATTGAAACAAGGGGGAAGGATTCAAACATGAAGTGACAAATGGCATAATTGGGGATAAAAATGGGAAGTCATTGGTTCTAATACGATTCAGTATTTGCAACAAATGCAGGTGAATAGGGTGCCATTCCAACAGGAGCTCAGCAGACAAAACCACAGCAAGGCACAAGCAGTTAAAAGATAATTCTGTTGTGGAACTAGTATGTTGCAGAGCTGTACCAAAGAGCTCATTCTCTGTAGTTGTTGTTCTGCCATGTCATTTGCTGATGGTCACTGATCACATCGAATTCCTAGTCCATTGGAGATGTGGGAGAACACACAGCTCAGTATTTATCTGCAGACAGCTACCTAATTTCAAAATATAGTAGGTGTTTTTATTTATTCTTTTCATCCCTCTTGTTCTCTGCCAGCTTTTATTGTACCTCCACACCTCTTTGCAACTGAATTTCTGGTGTCCCCAGTGTATTGCTTCATACTTTCTTCATTAGCAACCAATTTCTTAAACTGATACTAATTTAGTTCTATTGAATTTAATTGCAATGACTTCAGCAACTTTGTGCCTAATAAAATAATCAATTGGCTATCACTCCTGCATAAAAAATATACATTTTATCAGTCATGCTATTGTGAAAAAAATGGCTTCATCTACACTTGATCTTCCATTCAGTAACTTTTTAGTTTCTGTGGTTCCCACTTGCCTTGATCTTGCCTCAGATTCTGACTGTCTTTTCTGCAAAGAGTAAGTGTCAGTGAAATGATGAATTCTTTCCATTCTAACCATTGACTGATTTGGAAATGTTTAAATTCCAGGCAGCATTTTAAAGAATACAGGGCTTTTCTTCATCAACACCTAAAAATTAAACTTGCAGCATTTTATTCTTCAGAAAAGATGAATTTGCTCTATGAACTTGAAAATAATACACTTTCTTACAGATTTTTCTGTAAGTATTGTCTGTTGTTATTTTAGTGCATTTGTACTGGGATTTTGATCCGCAAAAGGAATTTGCTGTAACAAATATTCAGAAAATATTCATTATTTCAGTGCATTTGTACTGGGATTTTGATCTGCAAAAGGAATATGCTGTAACAAATATTCAGAAAATATTCAGAAATATGTAACTCAGGAGCCTATCCTTCTGTCAACTGAGTGATGGAATTTTGGGTTGGCAGCCAAAAAGTCTGAACATTTCCCTCAGTCTCTATATGTTCTTATACTGCAGAGTTGCTATAGTCACTTCTGGACTTGTCTTGTTCCTTCTCTTTGACATTTACAACTGTTTAATCCCCAAATAGTTTTATATTTACTTGAGTGTAAATAAGGTAAGAATTAATATGAAATTCCATGTACAAATGTTAATTGCTGCTTTTTAACTCAACACCAAATTTTTTATTCTTCAAACAGTTATCATTTGCTTCTGGACTTCTCAAGTAGAATCATAAAGATTTTTACTTAATTTCTGATATTGATTCAGTTACACATCAGCTGTTTTAATTGCTAATCATTGACATACTTTCAATTATTACCCAAAGTAAAATGTCACTTCCTTTTTTGAGAGGAATTTTACCATGATTTCTGTAAAGTAAATTCTACATTTCAGATTCTTATCACACAACAAAAAAAAAGCAGTGAAAAGCATTGATCATTCATCAACGGACCTAAATTTTGATTTGTGTTTTGGGCAAAGCATATAGAAGTATTTTCACAATTTGTGGCCCTTTTTTAGTTTAAATGGACACTAATGCCATGACCTATTTCTCTTAGGAGTTCATAGCAAAGTTGGGGGTGAGGGGATGAAATATGTTGATTGGCAGAGAAGATGGGATGTTTGTAGTTTTAATCAAATCTACTATTAAGGCATACTTCAAATAATATGTCAGACTAGTGTTAGTGAGTTTAAAATCTAATGACAACTGCTGTCATTAGTAGTTAAATATAGCCATTGTGCCTGTGGCAATAAATGATGACACTTCAGAACATGCAGAAACAAAAAACTCTCAAGTATTTAAAGAACAGGGACTGACTGTAAACTTAGTTAAACACAGGAATGTGACCTGGGCACAATATGTTTCCCAAATACAGAGGCATCTGGAATGTGAGCAGAGGACATAATTGAATGGAACATTGTGTGGTTACTATTAGAGTTTAAATTTTAGGAAACTTGGGCCTTTCTTCCTATTTTGTAAATATTTATCAGGGAGTGTCCTGCTTATTATGTTAACACTTATTTGTATTGCTCCATAAGGTGTATTTCAGATTCATGTCTCTGTTACTGTTCTGGCCCTTTAAAATGTATTATTCAATTATTTTTTTTGAGTCTTAAAAAGTAGGAACTGAGAAAAATTATCTTCTGCTTTTAATAGATGGAAGTTGTTTTTTTCCAGACAATAAGTTTGGATTCATGAAGTTATGAAGTTTGTTCATGGCTTTGGTTGGTATTTAATTCTAGCAAGGTGAAGAAAGAGAAAAGTTAAAGCAAGAAATGTCTGAGTACACAGGCATAACACAATATAGGCCATACAACTTCAGTGTGTTTGTAATACCATCTGCTAGTCCCTTTAAACCTCTAAGTTTATTCCTTTTTATTATCATTTGAAGAGAGTCTTTTGCAACTCTGTAAACGTTTAGACAATGTCAGTAGAAAGGAATTGTGACTCAAAGGGAGAAGTGTTGGGACAATAAGCAAACTGAATTTTGAAATAAGTTCACTGTAGCAGGACATGGATGTGACATACAAACCTGGGCTCAGGTCATGAGCAGTACAGTCCTCACATAGGAGAATGGCAAATGAAGATTTTAGTGCTCTGTGAATGTATATTGTTATTTTACAAGTGCCATTCTTAATTTCTAATAGTGAACCTCTATGTCATGGTATCATTAAGACAAAATTAAGATACTTGGCATATGAGTTTGAACTGTACTTCTGCTCTCTAGAACTGCTTAAAGATTTACAGCCACCTTAACTAGCAGCAGCAATGTTACTCTGTATTTGGGGTGTGTTGCTTCCATTTAGGAAATTTATTCTCTTTATCCACAATTCTCAGTGCAATGTCAACTTGCTGAGCTAATCTTCACTTTTTGTGCCAAATTATTGACTAGTGTTGCTGATCTTGTTTCAATAATTTCAACATCTCACATTAAGTATAATACCAAGCATATAATTTAATTTTTGAAAACTAAGGTAAATTCTGGTGTAAAAACGTATGAAAAAGGTTTGTAGAAAAAACTAGGTTTAAGATTTGTAAATTTGCAGTGTCAAGCATACAAAACTAGGTTGAGATTTGTAAATTTGCAGTGTCAAGCACTGAGTGTTAACTTAGCAGTTAACAAATTATGGTATGTTGTGTTGGTAGTAGCTGGTACAACTGTCTGCTACACATGGCAGATTACTAAGAGTCACAGAATAATTTGCCCTGCAAAGGACCTCTGCAGGTCACCCAGTCAAATCTCCTCAACAGGGCTAACTTCAAAGGCAGGACAGGCTGCTTGGGGGGGTTATCCAGCTAAGTTTGGAACATTTCTAAAGATGCAAACTCCCCAGCCTCCCTGGGTAAGCCATGCCACTGCTTGTCAATTTTTGCCAATTTCCCCCTTATATTGAGTGGAGTTTTCCCATGCTGCAGCTGTGACTGTTTCCTTCTGTCCTTTTACCATGCTCCTTTGAGAAATCTCTTGCTCTGTCTCTCCCATAGCTTCTCTTTAGGTAGTTGAAAATTGCCATTAGACCTCTCCTGCTTTTTCTCCATGATCTCTTAACTTCTCCTTGTACATAATGCTCTGCATTCCCAGCTCTGAAAATGGATGAAATCCACTCGTTGTGTTGAAGTGATGGTAGTAGGTCCTTGTAGATGATCTGAGTATTTAACCAACACGAGAAGGACTTATATGTCAAACAGCAACTCTGGTTTTTTTTCTTAGTGTAGTTGTTAGAGCATATCCTCTCCCTACAAATCTTCTACTTTTCATTGTCCACATTTGCTCTATTTCTGCTACTTATCCTAGTCACAAAAAGACAGCAAAATATTTTTAGCAGGGCTAGAAATGTAGTTCCAATTTCCCATCGTATCACTTCTGTGTGTGTAACTTCTGTTCTAGCATCAGTGTGAAGCATAGGGTTAGGTTTGCAACAGCCACTAAGAAATCCTGAAGAAAGGAATGAAGCTGAAATCTCCTCTGATGCCTCTGCTTAAACACCTTGTTTAGACATTGTGTAAGACCTTGCCCTGGTTCCAAATAACTACTCTGTTATCAGTGATCTGTAAAGTCAGATTCCCATGGAGGTTCTTTCTTTCTTCCCCCAGGAATTTTTCATTATTGCTGCACAGGCCAATAGCAACAGGAGAGACCTCAGTCCAGCCTGAAAAGTGGAGATTGTGAACACTCTCCTGGGTGTTGTGAAACATGGAACTGAATCTCTCAAACTGAGAAGGCTAGAGAATCTGATCTCCCTCTATCCAGGTAGTACAACACTTGGCTACTGTATAAATGAGATTTACTACTATTCTCCAGGTTGTTTTTTGATTTAAATGCTCATGTCTGTTTTACTTCATGATGAACTCAGTACTACCTGTTTTTGTCTCTGCTTTTAGTATATTCAGTGAGGGAATTTTGCTTGGAGGTTTCTGGGTTGTGAGCATCAAAAGAGCAGTAGCTGCTCAGTTTATTAAATCAGATAGGATCATGGTAGCATAAGGATGCACAGAAGTGTCAATGTACAGATAATTTCAGGTGGGAAGGGTAATTTATTGCTGAAATAAGGGAAAACAAGGGCACCCAAGAACCTGACTTTGTGCTGCTCTGAAATGGCAGCAGTTTATTCATTACCATGTAGTTCCTGCTCTCCATACACATAACAACCTCATTGACAACTTGTTCAGTCAAGGTTGGGAACAAATAGTCAGGCTTCACATTTTTGGCTATCCAGATTCCTAGAGGGCTTTTTCCTACTGTGCTTGAAGCTTTCTTGAAGGTTTAGACTATTGAATACAGATGAGCTTGACCTTCAGAACAATTCTCCAGCCAGCCTTAAGGGGTACTGTGGGTGGAACCTTAAAGGATGGACAAAATTTTTCTTTATCACATTCTTTGTCTTAGGCAGTTGTCATTTTCCTAAATTCTCCTTTAGGCATCTACTTGTTCTTATCATTCATTGCCAAGTGATGTCTAAGTTTCACCTTCTGTCATCTTTGATTACAATCTCTATCAGCTGCCACTTCTTTTCCAAGTACCACATTGCTCAGGAGGAAACCAAACTACACTTAGTGTGGTGTAGTCTGGCCTAGCTCTAGTCTGTGCAGTGGACTTTTGGAAGGGCTTTAGATACATCCCTGGAGCACATCCAGTGGTTTAGTTTCATCCAAAGGATGTCAGCCTGAAAGCTTTGAAACTGCTCCTTGTTATACATCAAAGTACATTAAGTGGAAGTTTTAGGTTCCTCACTTAAAAGCTGCAGTTGTTGTTTGAGCTGATGTAGGTGCACTCCTGTGGAAGAAAACAAAACACTATTTTTCATTCAAATGTAAATTTGAAATTCACTTGTTGAGAAGTAAGTTTGGTTCAAAACCCTTACTGGATTGATAACTTATCACTTCACATTCTCAGTCCTGGTGAGTTAATGTAGCTGTACTGGATTCAGTAAGTTATTTAATTTGAATCTAATCCATGGACATGAGGATGCAGTGTGAAGTTGGACAGTCACTAAAGATATTTAGTTGGGAAATTAAACCACGGTTTAATAACAATCAAACTGATTGCCAATATTAATGCAGATGAGAAGATAAATTTTATGTTCTCTCAGAACTTTAAATTGCTATCGAAGGCTCAGCCACTTATATTTTTAGTGGATTTAGAGACATTTATTGACATAATCAACACATGCTTTATATTTTATAATACTGTGGTCTCATGATATAAAGACTTGTGAATTGAAGCCAATTTTCAAAAGAACTGTCATGCATCTAACGTAATCCAACTGTAATAATAGCAGTGTGAGGCTTACATTTTCAAAATTATGTGTATAGACACATTCCATTAACATTAATGGCAGTTACAAGGCTAAGGATCAAATTTTTCCTGAGTTAATCCTCTAACTCCCACTGATTTTAGTGATCTTAGATTACTAAATAATTTTTAAAGACCTTCAGCCCCTAAGTTTTTAAATATATCCAGCTCAGACTGAATTGTTTTCAGTCCAATGGGTATGTTTATTGGCACAGTTTTGATCTGTAGCTGGATAGCTACTGATTATATTTCTGCATGCAACGTGCAACAATCTCCTTTGAAGATTTAATTGGAAGTGCATTTTGTGCACAGGCAATACACCATTTAGAGGTCATTTTCTAGTGTTTGGAAAAAGAGTAAAACTAACAGTCGAAGTGAAATAAAAATGTCATTTGTACCATGCACTGTCATATATGGAACTCAACATACAAAGGACTCAGGTTGAATTTTTCGGAAGCCAAAGAAATGAAAGGCATTTCATTTTTGTAGGTGAGAAGTGAAATGTTCCTCTCTGCTCACTGATAGAGGCATGCTAAGGTGAATTTTAATTATGACTAAATTGTGGTATTACTCTTTCATACCCTGAACATCTGTTCCCTTCAGGAGCGATGATTTATGCAGGCTATCACTGCAGACAGCTTGCTACAGCTTATGTCACGCTTAGGAGGAAGCTGGTGGGAGTATTCCAGAGAATACCACGTCTAAGTGGACACAGCCCAGGGTGTATTTTTAAGGTAACAGAGAAAGAGGAGCATGATGAGTCCATTTTCAGTTTTGAAGCCAAATATTGACTTTCCTTTTTTTTTTTTTCCTTCCTTTTTCCTTTCAGACTGTCTGTCATTAATGAAGAAAGTCTCTTGGACAGTGAGTGGCCTGGTCCTTCATAGTGGTGTCAGGCAAAAGGAAACCAAAGTTGTCATTGTTAACTGCATGTAGAAAATTCTTGAGAACACCTCGGAGAGAATTTCTGTGTTAAGGAAATGCACAGGGCAGGATTAGCATCACAGAATGAAATTGAGAAGGTAACCTTTGTTTGTTAGCATGTTTGAGTGAATGCATCTCCCAAGTACCTTCATTGTTGCTGCAGTTGTATAGTTTTTGTCTAACTATAGAGGATTCTTCTTAAAAAGCAGGCAAACAAATCCCCAAAATTACGAAGCCTTGGGGTTCAACAAAGCAGGTTATATACATGTTCAGGTTAGATAGGAGGAATTTTACTTCTCTGTTCCCTCTTCCCTAAATTCCCCCCTGATCTTTAATCTTCCCCTAGTAGCCACTTTGATTCTGATTATGCCTATGTCTTCTCCTACTTTGTTATGTACTAATGCATAGTACATGATCTGGAGATTTATTACCAAGAAAGATTATTTCTAAGATTACTTGAGGTGTATTTGCAAATTCAGCCAGTTCTGATTTGGTTAGATCATGTAAAGACTCAGTAGTTAAAATGCCTGAAAAGATATGACACAGTAACCATATAACAACATAGTTTAAAGTTCTGCTAGATACAAGAGTCTTTTTTTTCCTCCATAAGGCATTTTAACATTTTCTTGCCAATTCAGTAGGTTTTGGAAGGATTGATATGCTGGTTTTGTTTTCAGATAAGTCTTGAAGGACATGGGTTTGTCCCAAAACAAGTATGGCAGATATGCTTTATACCACCTGACTTCTGTTATTAGCTTGTCATATGTTTGAAATAAGTTGTTAAGAATAAATTTTAAATGGTTTTCAAACCTAGGATTGATTCATAATATGGAATACTTTGCAAAGATTTCCACAACATGTAAAGAATTTGGAATGCTTGGAATATTAGCCTTCAGCCCTCCCTGAAATTTGTGGGTTTGCTTTGTTGAGTTTTTAAGCCTGTAGGACAATACAATCATTGCAGGTCCCTTCCAACTGAACTATTCTGTTCTGTTCACTGAAGTTTTCATCCACAAAATTAATATCCAGGAGAACTATATAACTACACTTGACACAGTTAATGAAAAGTCATATGTCTGTCAGTTTTCTAATGTTGCCTTTGATAGATATCATCCTGTATTTTGTAATATAAAAATAATTGTATTGCTGTCAACATTGGTGCTAATCTATATCAGGAAATTGCATTCAAATGTGAATAATAACACTTCAGCAGTAAATTTTCTTAGAACTTCTTGTCTAACTCAAACATTCACAATACTTTCAACGTGATGTGGATAATCAAAACACACAGATCAAACTTGTCTGTACATCAGAGCAAAAGAGTTCAGCAAGAATTTTTGAGCACACAGAAATTCAGTGGGTTTATACAGTACTAATCAATCTTTGGGTTTATTTCCACAGGGATGTCTTGACCTAGAATTTTACTTTTTAAACTGACATCCATGATGCCTTATATATATGTGGTCCATTCTTCCAACCAACAGTTCCATGTTTGTCAGTGTTAGAACAGCATTGAAGGTACTGTAATTACAGTTAAAATTGAAAAAATAGAAGAGAAGAAAAGAACCCCAGAAAACTTTACTGATGGTTTGTTTTTTGTCTTATTTTTAATGTTATCTCTCTGGACAGGCAGCACCTCTAAGTTTGGTGTGCAATGTCAGGTGAGGGATGTGTGTTCTATTGAGGTAGGAGATGTGTTTCACATTTGAACGTGCCTATTGTAGTTGGATGTAGATTTTAAAAACAGGGCACATTCCTCTTCAAATTTGCAAGACTCGTAAAATTTTTCTTCACACTTTCTCTCTGTGCTATGAGCACCTTGAACAAGACAGCTTAGGATATCCCCCTGGCTGACCTGAAATAGGAGTGATGGCTGAATAATGTCATTAGTATTTTCCTCTTGCCTCTTCTTTTCAACAGCTCCATGAACAATGAATTTCTGCTGGTCAAAGTATTGCCATTTCTGTCATCAAAAAGTAACTTGTGTGCTATCTTTCTTAGACTTTCTTTCAAAGAATGACAGGTAATTTCACTAGCATCATTTCAGTGACAGTTTCTGCTTTAATCACACAACTCCTATGGTGATGATTCACCTCTTTCATAATTTTGCATTCAGTGAATTGTATTGCACAATATAAAGCAGCTATTGTGTATATTCTCGAGTATTATGATTTCTGCACAAGCTGGAGGGGGGTAAGCTAAATATTCAATAATCAATTCTTTTGTGGTAAGTGTAGCAAGCAAATAATATTTAAAAGAATGCTATCAGGAAATACATGTTTTAAACTGACTGAGCTATGTGGTTTTATGTTACTCAATCTGAAAACCTGGTTCAGCATAAAATCACAGCCGTGGGAGGATTGGGTCTAAAACAATAGCTGCAATGCATGATGAGGACAATCAGAACAGTGTGGACATGGCCAATAAGCATAATTTAGAATTTGGCTGTGAGCACAAGGAATGGCTTGTAATATTCCCAGTTGTGATGGTATATGTGCTGGTTTGGGCTGAAGTGGAGTTGACTTTCTTCCCAGTGGCTTGGATGGGGCTGTGCTTAGGATGTGTGCAGGGCACAGGGTTGATAATGCAGAGATGTGTTTGGTTTTGCTGAGCAGAGCTCACACAGAGCCAAGGCCTTTGCTGCTTCCCATACTGCCACATGGGGAGACTGGGAGGAGACACAGCTGGGACAGGTGACCCAACCTGACCAAAGGGATATTCCATACCATAGCACATCATGCTCAGTATATAAAGTGGGAGGAAGAAGGAGGAAGGGGGGACATCTGGAGTGATGGTGTTTGTCTTCCCAAGGAACCATTCCATGTGATGGAGGTTCCTCTCCTGGAGGTGCTGAACACCTCCTGCCTGTGGGAAACAGTGAATTAATTCCTTGTTTTGCTTTGCTTGTGTGTGCAGCTTTTGCTTTCTCTAGTAAACTGTCTTTATCTCAACCCATGAGTTTTTCTAGCTTTTACCCTTCTGATTCTCTCCCCCATCCTGTTGGTGGGGCAGTGTGTGAGCAGCTGCCTGGTTCTTTGTTGCTTGCTGGGGTTAAATCATGACAGTATACAACAAGCCAAAACATGATTATGTTTGTGGTGTGCTACTCTTAAGTTTTCTCAAGGTGAGTTGCTATCTTTGCCAGCAGAATTAAAGTTAAAAATAACTTTTTACTTAGAGTTATTTAGGATTAAACATCTATGTATTTGTATGGTTAATGGGAATCAGAAGGTAAATTAAGCAATTGTGGTATTTCTAGAGTTTAGCATACATTTTTACTAAAAGCATGTAGGCTGTGGTCAAAATATAGTGTTCGCAGGAAAGTTCAGTAGGGGAAATCAAGCAGCACTCAGTGTAATTGAAACATGTGCTGGTTGGCTCTAGACTTTGCATTGCTAAGGAGACTTTGGCTGAAGTCACTGAGAACCTCAGCAAGGTTTGTCTAGTGCTAGCATAAAGGCAGAAGGGAAAAAGATGGAAAAGGAATGGAGTTGTCAAAATGAGTTTTGCAAAATGCATCTTTTCATCATCACTTCCTCTATTTCTCCAGTCTTGCATGGGTTGAAGCCTCCCCAAAACTCTAAATGACAACACTTGTGCATGGACTAGATTGTTGTAGACTTGTTCTATGCTTACATTCATCAAGAAAAATATCAAACAAAGAAGAGAGATTGAAAATCTTCTATGCCCTAGATTGGGTGAAGTGGAACTGAAGTGCTGTATTTCTGTCTTAGTATGGGTATATTCATCACACATACACAGATGTGTACATGCAGTACACTCCTTTCCACTTCTCTTTCATTTAATTCCCTTCCATTTATTTCTTTACTCCTAAATGAAGACCAAGAGTAGCCACTTATTGCCCTGTATTTCTCTTTTGGTCTTAAATCAGTCCAGATTTTAGCTTTGTCTCTGAAATTCAGTCCAAAACCAGATGGAAAACCTATTTGTAAATTTACGTGACCAGAGTGATTCATTCATTCCAAGTTAAACATTCACATGTAATTAAATCACTTTTAAAGATTGTTTTAAAACACAGAAACAAGTTGGTAAGTTTTATTCTGAGCTGGTGAAATTTACCTTGATGAGCTGAGGTAGTACAGGGAAGTCTAGGGAGGTTTGTTACACAAACAGCATTGTGAGCATCGTAGCAAGTTGGATCCTGACAGACATTGCCTTTCTCGTTCTGTGGAGATGCTGAATGTGATTTCTCTCCTGCAGGCCATCACAAGTTGTCACTGCTGGTTGCTGTTGCCTTGTATTTGCTGTGGTCCCACACACTGCTGTTTGCAAAATCCCAAGCTGTGTTGTAATCTCTGGAAATATGTGTCATTCCTGCACATGAATGGATTGAGGAGTAAAACTAAGGCTATTGTAATTCTTTCTGCCTGGAAAATTAATTTTCTACAAAAGACAAGGTTATAATTCTGCATACTGGGTAAAATGTTGCTGAACTCTTTATAGCCTGTCATGCTAATGACTTAATATTTAGATGGTATCATTATTTAGCAGAATGGTCATTTCAGTCCAAGGCTATTTTAACTTTTACATAGCAAGTTACTCAAATCTATTAATTTTCTATGCTGACCTGTTCTGAGCTATTCTAGATTTTATAAAAAAAAAAAAAGAAAGAGATGTGCAGGGTGGAAGAAGTGGAGAAAGAGGCATAAAGTGTATTGGAAAACTCCCAAATGTCCCCTGCAAATGGACCCTATTCAGAATCAGTAAGCGTATGATGAGTGAAGTGGTTTTGAATATCGCCTTTAGATTCCATGCTGTTACAAGGCCAGCCCCGAACATGGCAACTCTTATTTCCACACACAGTACCTCTTCACTCTCAATTTAACCCAAAAATCTGATGAACCCATTACTCCATACTTGATTTCATGGAACAAGGAGTAGATATAGTTACAAATGATCAATCACAAGCCGTGAACCAAAGCAGCAAGGCATTAACAATTCACACCATTTCGGTCCACTTGCTCAAGCAGAAGATGTGCCAGCATATTTAA